GTGCCAGGTACATGCACGTTAAAAAAAAAAAAAAAAGGGGGGGGGGGGGGGGGGGGGGGGGGGGGGGGGGGGGGGGGGGGGGGGGGGGGGGGGGGGGGGGGGGGGGGGGGGGGTAGGGGGGGGGGGGGAGGGAGTTGAGGCTGGAGTTGCTCCTAGCTTCCCCCTTCCACCAAATTTTGCCTCACAGTACTCTGGATGTATTCGGACCGAAACACCCACATCATGCGTTCGAACAGACTGAGTGCAAGAATGTAGGGAAAGCAACCCAGAAAGGTAGCATGGATGCAAGATGCTCTGGTACCCACCCTGTTCTACCTTTCCCTGCTTCTTCCCCTTGTACCCTGGGAAACGCGGAGGGGGACCTTCTGTTTGCTTTTAGGAATCTTAGGATTCTATTGGTTTAAAAGGTGGTTGGGCTAGGCGCCACATGGTCACATGCTGGGGCCCCAGCGTACTTTGCCCCTAGACATCCCGGACATGGTGGTGGCTTGTTTCTTTTGTTTTTTTTTTCAAACAAAGAAGACAAAAAGCCCCTTCTATTCTGGGGGGCGTCAGTCCGCTGGTGACTTTTTTTTTTTTTTTTTTTTTGTGCAAGGAATATGAGCGAGAGCGATAGACAGAAAACCAGAATGCAAATATAGTCAAGTGCCAAGCAGAGAGCTCAAATGCACCAAGATATCATCCAAATAAGAGCAATACAATGAACTCTAGAGGCAATGCCGACGCTCTCTTGTCACACCAACACTGTATCCAATGTCGCCCCTACTGTCTCACGCTCAGCGCCCAGCCTACTCTACTCAGCCTATCTATCCTATCTACGTTTATGTGTCTGGATCACACCGAAGTCGAAGACCAATGTACCTGACAACAACACCAATGCCGACCACCAGCATACACCAGGTACGTCCTCTCTCTCTCCTCATCACCCCTTGTCTCCCCGCATCATGCACCTCCTACCCGAAGACCACCTTTGCCATCACCTGCCTTGCGTCCCTGCAGCCCGGCTATGGCTGCTGTGCGCCCGCTGCCCTTGCAGCGCCCCTCACCTCAGCGCCTGTGCGCGCATCCGACCAGCAGGCCCATGCAGATGCTAGCGCAGCAACGCAGCAGCGTGTCTGCATTGCCTGCCAAGGCCAGAATGCCTCTGCCAGAGGCGCACACTTTCCTTTATGGAAACTGTGTCGCTGCTGGCTGGCCTGGCCAGGCATGTGGGGGGTCCAGTAGCTTTGGTCGGGCTCCAGGTGTCTGCACCCAGGCCAAGTTCCTGATGTCGGTCTGGGCCTCATGCAGTTAGGCTCATTCAGGCAGCCACGCAGCCTCCAAGTGTTCGCCGCTTTCTCATTGGCTCACGGCTCATATGTGACGACAATGCCGCCTTCTCATTCGTCCGTGGCTGCTGCGTGATGTGTCGGCCTAACACTGCGTGTGCCCAGGGCGCAACCACCGGTGCCCAGGGCTCAACTGTGCAGTGCAGCCCATGTTTCTGGAAAGAGCCAGAAGGCTCACGTTTCCCTGTAACCAGCTGGCAGGCCCAGTAGCTTTGGTTGGCGCCCAGGTGTCTGCACCCAGGCCAAGTTCCTGATGTCAGTCTGGGCCTCGTGCAGTTAGGCTCATTCAGGCAGCCACGCAAGTGTTCGCCGCTTTCTCATTGGCTCATGGCTCATATGTGACGACAATGTCGCCTTCTCATTCGTCCGTGGCTGCTGTGTGATGTGTCGGCTTAACACTGCGTGTGCCCAGGGCGCAACCACCCGCGCCCTGGGCTCAACTCTACAGCGCAGCCCATGTTTCTGGAAAGAGCCAGAAGGCTCACGTTTCCCTGTAACCAACTGGCGTGCTGCAATTCTCGGAGTACCCACATATGGGTATATGTCGGAAATAGGGCTCACGTGGATATTCAGGCCCGCCTTCACTTAGGGCGGGCACAGGGCTTGCGGGGGGTCTCAGCCCAGAACACGTGCATGGCTGATAAGGGCCCCGCGAGGGCTCGTTCCTCGGATTTGTTTGAACTTTGAAACTTATTTTTGTTTAACGACCAAGCGGGCCCATCTTTGTGGCAAGTGTCTTGGGCACCCTCTTCGCAGCTTCCGATGGTGGATAGAGTTGGGTTGATGGGAACTCGGCATTTGCTCTGGCACATGTAGGGCCTTGGTCCATTGCTCAACATTTGATACGTTTCTAGACCAGATGCATTTGGACTGAGAGAGCATTTTGAATGTCTTGGGCCCATTACCAGTACAATGTTGTGCAGTGGTGCAAGGCCCATAATTCTGCAATTATCATCTCTTTTGTTTTGTACCGTGCATTGTGCAGTAGATTTTCCATCACATCTGGGATGCTTGGCCGCCTCTGCGAGCTGGATCTTGTCTCAGCGTAGGTTGCAAATTGCAATCCAAGCTGATGACTTGCAATTCCTGTCCCGTAGACAGACTTTGACGATTGCCTTTGGAAACCTTGGGGTGGGCATTCCAAGGGAAACCAAGGGTTGCTGTCGGGACGACGCTGGCGGGAGCTGGGGTGAGTCGTGTTGCCCTGTAACCTAGCAGGGTGGGGGGAATTAGGCCTGGGAGAGCTCGGCAGGGAAAAGACAGTGTTAGAGAATTTTAGAGGGTTTTGTTCGGGATTCCAGGGTTCTGAGCATTCAAAGGACTTCTGTGGCTTTGCCTTTTGACTTGGTAACTGCTGCTTGAGTAGCCTAGCAGTAGGTCAGCACTGCAGTTATCCAGGTCTTCCTAAATTTTCTTGAACTCCTTTAATAGTTCTCAGATTGTTCTTAGCCGAAGCCAGGTAATGGCCCTGGTATTTCAAATGACTTGGAAATTCTATATGGGATGCTGGGCCCGGTTCCCAGTACGTGCTGCTCCCCACGAATAGACTGGAGCAAAAAAAAAAAAAAAAAAAAAAAAAGATGTAAGAAAATGTGGCCCTGCGGAAGCCACACTTTTGCAAAAAAAAAATTATTTACTAATGTAGTAATGTCATTATTTATGTATTTATTAAATTTTATTTATTTATTGTTCGAGTGGTTGCCCCTAACGGTATTACATCCTTTTGATTCCATCAAGATTCAAAAACTCGTGACCTGTTTGTTAGCAGTCACAGGTGTTGTACTGAAACTGACTGTCATGGTGTCTCGAGAGATGTCGCTCGGTCCACAGCTCTCAATTCGACGTTTTTTTTGGAGATTGTTCAATCTAGAAAAAGGATCGAGAGTCGTCAGATAGATTTCATTGGGAGCACTCGAGATTTCCGGAGAGTCCTCAGCCTGCTCACTCTCAGAAATCCAGGGCCCTCTTCACCAGCCTTGATTTTCGAGAGTCGGCCACGCGTTGGGCCTTAACTGTACGATTTTCTCTTGTTTTCTTGAAATTTCTTCTCCTTTTTTTTTCTTTTCCCATCGCTATGCTGTGGGAAGAAGAAGGAAAAAAGGAACAGAGAGTCGGTCGAGAGTGAGCGATCGATAGTAGGTGGAGCAATGACTGTAGAATCGTCAAATCGAGAATGGTGGAGCGAGACCCATGATCATGCTTTTCTCTGCACTTATGTGTAGTGGGCATAACACTCGTGTTTTTTTTTTTTTGTTGTTTGTTTAATAACATAAAGCTCATCTATCCAGCCCATGTGGCGGAATAGTGTACTGTACACATTTTACTTTTAGGAAACAGATCGGGACCAAAAAAAAGAAGAAAGAAAAAAGAAAAAGAAAAGGGGGAAACAGATCGCAACTTCAGGCACGGAATAGAAAGGAGGAGAAAGTTCAGAAAAGAGGGTGGGGGGGTGGNAAAGTTCAGAAAAGAGGGTGGGGGGGTGGGGGGTGAAACACAATATTGAATATTCAGCCACGTTCAGGATTGCGATTCCCTGTGCTCCACTGATCAGATGGATGCAACACTGTTCACGACTTCCCCCTTTATTATTAAGTTTTTGTTTTTTTAATTGTATTAAAGCGAATTTAAAGGAAAAAAGAAAAGGTATAACATGCATCTGCACATGGACAACACACGGACAGTGGGAAGTTCTTGGGCCTCGCTGCACTACACGACATGCATTTGGATGCATCCTGGCCCTGATTCATTCAAAATGTTGGACTCGTCTGAATGCACTTGGTCCAGAAAGTGTTTGTGTAGTGGAGCGAGGCCCCTTGTTAGCAATCTTGATGCGCTCACAGATCTGTAAGAGTTCGGAGTTCTTGGCCCTCACTCCACTACACGACACTATGCATTTGGACGCTTCCTGAACCCGATTCATTCAAATGTTGGACTCGTCTGAATGCACGTGGTCCAGAAAGCGTCCACATGCATTTAGAGTGTTGTGTAGTGGAGTGAGGCCCCTTATCAGCAATCTTGATGCTCTCACAGATCTGTGGGATTGCAGGGAATTGAAAGGCCACGTGGCATTTTTTGCAGTATGTGATCATGTTGGATTGGACGCTTCTTGGACCCAATTCATTCAAAATGTTGGACTCGTCGGAACGCGCCTGGTCCAGAAAGCGTCCAAATGCATGTAGACTGTTGCATAGTGGAGCAAGGCCCCTTGTCAGCAGCAATCTTGATGCTCACAGATTTTTAAGAGTTTCTGCGCAGAGGAGCCCAGGGAATTGAAAGGCCACATGCCACATTTATTGCAGTATCTAATCGTGTTGGAGTCTGTTGATGCCTTGCACCAGGTGTCAGAGTGTCCGGTGTCCGTTGAAGATCTTCTGGCAGCTGATGAAGTTTTCTGCACGGGGACGGCAGTTGTGCTCTCACCTGTCGGGAGTGTGACGTTCCGGGATAAACGGTAGGGGGGTTGCTGGGCTTGGCTCTATGGGGGTTGCATGTATCATGAAGCTTACGGTTCTTTTCTTTGTGTCTTTGTCAAGTCGCTCACTCTGCCAATTTCAATCATTCCGCTCCCCACGGCCAGTCCTCAGGTCATTTATGTTCTTTTGCTGAAATGCCTTCAAAAGAATTTCCACTGATTTTTACCCCTTAAACGTCTCGCCATGCCTTAGAAAATCCTGCGACCGTCGAATCGTCAGTCTTTTGGATCATCAACCTGAAGAGGTCAACAGGGCAGTAATGAAAGGTAGTGCCAGTTTAAACCACCAATACACCCGGCGTTGGAGGCGCTGCACTGCGCGCGAAGCTCTTCTGAATCGCCAGCGGGATTTTTTTTTACTTTTGGCTGGCGCCCTCAGCCATTGTCGTCTGCTAGCCTCGAGCCGCGAAAATGCTGGAGTTTGCAACTTGCGATTTCTACAACGCTAGGGCCGTGTACTGGCAGTTTAAATCACCCGTACACCCTGGCCTGGAGGCGCTCCGCTGCGCGCCAAGCTTTTCTGAACCGCCAGGGCACACACTTTTTTTCTTTTGTTGGCTGGCGCCGCCAGCCATTGTGGTCCGGTAGGCCCGAGCCGCGAAATTTTCGGAGTAGGCGACGAAACATTTTCTGCAAGGCTGGGACCGTGTACGGGCTCCTTGAAAAGGCTCGCGGCAAAAGCCATACGATAATCTGGGGGCCAAACACTGCCTATTGGGAGGCAGGTCACTTGTCCAGCCTTTAACCACTCAAGCCAATGGGTGGTCACCACTTGTTTGACGACCCGTTTGTTTGGCGATCAAAACCAAAGAAGAACCAGAGCGCTTTTGTCTCTGTTCGAATCGTAGGTCTCACAGTCAGGCAGGCTTTGAGCATTGCACTCTATAGCTGCGCTTTGCTCTAGCTTGAGCTTACCTTTTTGCGCCTTTATATCTCTTTATGCAATTGTATCAGTCTAATCCCCTGCCCGCTTGGAAATGAAAACCGGTAGGTAATCGAAGGTAGATCACTGTGCCCGTAGGTGGTCCACACCGCACAGGTCCTATACACATTCTCTGTGAGCATGAATCTGGTCATAAAACTGTCCCAGTTCGTAGTACATCCGCACAGACACTGCAACACGTCAATTTGAGGTATGACGAAATGAGGTTCAGGTTGCAATTAGAGTGAACCCTGCCCCAACCTCTGACCATTTCCATACTTAAATGTACAGCCAGCCCACTAGATTTCCCTACCCCTTCGTACTTTCTCTTCCAAGCAGTCCCGATGCTCGTAAATGAGGTGAGGCTGTACTAGGGAGGCCCCCCCCCCCCGGCTCTCCCCCAACTTTATGTTGTCCTCTAGATAGCATTACAGGTTCACCTGTGAAATGGGTTGCCCTTCAGATTTCAGAAAAGATTCACAGAAGCTCGCTGGCAAATGTCTCTATTTTTGCCAGTGGCAGGCATGGATATGATCACCACACCCAGGGAGCCATGAGGGCATACGAGCACTCGAATCTTATCGCAGTATCTTGCCCGCAACTCTGGTCGGATGCATGCAGTAAAGTGCTAAATGAGTATACCCCGAGTTTCCAGGGAGCCATGAGGGCATACTCACACTCCTGAATGCCACTTGGGTGCTTAATCAACTGGAAGGCCGGGCTCCATGTGATAAAATACGAGTGTGAGTATGCCCTCATGGCTCCCTGGAAGCATATCAGTGCTTTCCTCCCTGTTACACCCTTCTGTCCGGTCTTCCAGTCATAGTCTGATAGCATATATTTGTAGAAAACAGTAGAAATTTAGAAAACGTTTTTTTTTTTTTTTTTTTTTTTTTTTTTCGTTTTTGAAAATAAGCTATATTCTTTATTCTTCTCTCAATTTCACCTTTCACTACCTACCTACCACTACTCCTAAGAGTCCTAAGAGTCCTAACTTCCTAAGCCTATACAGGAGGGGACCCCTGGTAGCAAAGCTACGTCTCACAACTAAGGGGATGCATGTTACCCCCCCCCCCGCCCTAATCGGCGGTGGTCAGGATGTAGGGTGGGGCTGCTGGTTGGGGGGGCTGGCTAATGCAAAGACCGAGCATTTTGCCCATAGCTGTGGCCAGCACGCTCACGCACGCGACACACAACTCCTCCCCCCACGCATGCACACCGTGATGGCCAAAGACCCTATCAAATACCGAGCGGGGGCGCAAGCCAACTAGTATCTTAGTTGGTTGGCACCAAGAGTGCGGCAGGTGGTCAGTGGGGAATCTGGGGATTGAACCCAAGACCTCCTGAATGCCACTTGTGTGCCTAACAAACTGAGCTCGGCCGCTTGTTCAAAAAAAAAAAATCCGGAGCCCGGCCATGTGCAATAGTGTGTTAAAAAAAGAACAAGAAGGAAGTCCGGTCGTCTGATATAAGAACTATTATCCAGCGGCCTAGCTCAATTGGTTAGGCACACGAGTGGCATTCAGGAGGTCGTGAGTTTCAATCCCCTTACCCGCCTGTTGCACTCTTTTTTTTTTTTTTTTTTTAATAATTTTTAATTATTACCAATAAGAGGAATGAGGCCGGGGTCCTCACAGTCTGCCCGGAGAAACCGAACCGAACTTGCTGAGAACCAGGCTCAGCGTCCCTCGTGTTGCACTCTTGGTGCCAACCACCTGAGATAGTCAGCTGGTGGATCCTCCCAGTCGGTATCAGTAAGGTCCTCAGCCAACACGGGTGTGAGTGCGTGTACTGCTGTTAGTACCCGATGGGGGTGGGGGAAGATGAAAAGGGAGGCACAGTTACTTTTACTGGCAAATGCTCGGTCCTTGTGTTAGCCGGGCCTCCACCGGCGGCCCCAACCCTGCACCCTAAACGCTAGGGCAAAGGGGCAAACATGCCGTTACCCATCTCCACCGAGAGAGGTAACCTCCCTTCACCGAAGAGAGGTAGAAAGCTATGCTTGCAGGGGTCCCCTGTATGGCCTTAGGAGTAGCTGTTTTTTTTTTTTTTTTTTTTTTTTTTTTTAAGCTCCGGTCTATTCGTGGGGAGCAGCACGTGCCGGGAACCGGGCCCAGCGTCCCATATGAACATACATCAGTTTGTAACACCGGGGCCATTACCCGGCTGAGGCTGAGGCCTTAGGAGTAGCTGTAGGTTCTGAAAAGAAATATATGTTCCATGATGACATGGCAGAATGCCAGTTAAAAGATATGTGAGGTGAGAGAAAAGATATAAGAGCCAGTCACAGGAGATTAAAAAAAAAAAAAAAGGTTAAGGTGTCAACTGAAATCCCGAGGATGGGGCCCCAATAAAGTATGCCCAGGTGCAAAGTCCTTATTTTACGGTGATACGTCCGGCTGGCTTCTTTTTTTTGGGAGGGGCAAAGCTTCAAGTGTGGTGGAAGGTGGTAAGAGCACCCCCCGGAAGTGGGTCCCAGTTTGAAGGCTCCATCCATTGGTGGGGGGGGAGCTGCACCTGCTGGAAACCGGGTCCAGCGTCCCTTTACAGTACACGGAGAGATGGGGCTTCGCGTTGTCCATACAGTTTCAAATTTCAATTTTTGTGTAGTGTTGTCTGCGATAAGCACTTTCCTTGTCCTGTCGCTTGGCGCCTCACTACCTCTGTGATTCAACTGGCAGCTACGTTTCTGTTTTCCATCCTGTCGCTTGGCGCCTCACTACCTCTGTGATTCAACTGGCAGCGACGTTTCTGTTTTCCATCCGTCCTGCTGGGAACTGGGTCCAGCATCCCTGTGGTCCTCTGCGATCCGTGTGCTGGTTCTCTCGCACCCACCCTCTTTCTGGCGATCTCCTTTCCCCCTGTTACACCCTCCTTCTGTCCAGTCTTCTAGTCGTAGACTGACAGCATATCAGTCTTGATTGCAAGAGCACACAAGTGGAGCCAGCTGGGGAAGCGCTGTGTACCGTCCACCCCTTGCTGAACCCGAGGTTCTGTGGAAGGGGGGGTGGATGTCTCCTTGGCCTTGTACCTCCAGCTGTTTTCTACCTCCAGATGCATCTACAAAGACCTACACAGGGTTAAATTTTTCAGTGATCATCAGGCCCTTTTTTTTTTTTTTTTTTTTTTTTTTAACATCCCTCATCAGTCCTTTTTGACTGATGTTATTTCACCCAGCTCCAAGTTAATGGCCTCGTTAGACTTTCGTAAGCACGCCCTTGGAATCCAAGGACGGGTCCTAAGAAAAAAATAGGATTTTCAGCGTCGTGGTTAGACTTGTCCGAGAAAATCCATCGTTAGGGCTACTGTAGTCCTAAGACGGATGTCGTATAAAGAAAAAGAAAAAAAAGAAAAAGAAACACAGTTGTGCTTCAGGCTTTCAGCCGGCAATAGGGTGCCGGCACGATGCAGATTCTTCGTTATAACCTTTCGACTACGTGTGTATGCCCTCTCCATTCCATGAAACGCGTTGCTTGGACTCCAAGGGACCTCGCGAGCTTTCCTGGATCCAAGGATGATTTGGCTGGGGAATCCTAAATTCTCTTTTTCTTTTTTAAAGGTCGACGATCTTGAGATATCATCGTGAAACTGACCGGCCCTAGATAATTCAGAAAAAAATCGTTCATCTGGTTCCAGCTCAATTTGAACGGACGTCTGCATTTTAACAGTTTATGGGTATACCAACCGAGCGAAGCTCGATTCAAACTGACGTCGCCGGCCTAGCCTCGTGACCAGCATGGCTAGCAAGTCGGCTCCTTTTTCCTTTCACTCTTCCAGCAAGGCTGGCAGTGAGAGACACCTCTAGAATAGGTAAACAAACAAGCGGCCTCATTACGAAGGTGGCGTGGTTGACAAGCCACAGAAGAAGATGCGAAGCTCGATTCAAACTGACGTCGCAGGCCTAGCCTCGTGACCAGCATGGCTAGCAAGTCAGCTCCTTTTTCCTTTCACTCTTCCAGCAAGGCTGGCAGTGAGAGACACCTCGAGAATAGGTAAACAAACAAGCTGCTTTATTACAAAGGTGGCATGGTCGACAAGCCGCAGAAGAAGATGCGAG